GCCATTCCCTCCGTCACCTTGTTGGAAATGTATTAATTATCGAAGAAAGTTTTCCTCGTTAAAAAAAAAAAAAAAAAAAAAAAATGTCCACGAGTGAATAGAAAAAATTTGTTAAATTACGTACAATTTAATTATTTCTAGGGAGAAGTTTATCCTTATCCAGGCGATTGCACGAGATACCAGCACTGTGACGGTAGTGGTTGTTTCGTTTTGCAATGTGGCACAGGGACGGAATTTAACCCAAATATTGGTACCTGCGATTATCCCCTTCAAAATCGTCAAGATTGTATGAATCGCCAGGTTGGATAGATATGAAAGCATTTCTAAAAGATTGTGAAGAAGTGAAAAGATTTAACGAACTGGAGTAATTAAATAAAATTCTTTTCAAATTTATACTATTAATTGTGTATTATCATTAAGACCTTGACGAATGTTGTATTATGAACCATATCATTGTTGTTCCTCCGAATATCGTTGACAATTGCTAATTTAGCTATGAGTGCCTGAACGAAGTTTGATGCGTTATGTATGCTGCTCGCAAGAAGTGCACTGCAACAGTCTACAGGCGACTTTCGTTCGTGTATCGTGTAGATAATCAGTCAAATAGTTCATAGTACATTAAAAAACAGAAAAAAACATCTGATAATTAATTAAAACACGGCTTTCACGTTAACAATTTGACCGTAATAATTTAATAATTCAGTAATCATTAGTGTATCATATTGTACATGACATGTACAGCTATTCTTTTGCGTGCAAGAGGATGACATCTCGATCGTTGATCTTATTGTGTGTATTATGTTGCTGTCTCACTGTGTGCACTGCTAAGAAAATGAAAGTGGTAAAAAGAATTTACTTGTTATTAATAATTGACGATGACATAATCTTGACTTCTTTTAATTTACACGCGTGCAAATCTTTTTTGTTTATGTAATAGTGTATTCGAATCTGTTCACAAATTCATGACGTTCATTTACATTTCGTAATTGCTACTGCTATCTTATTTCCGTCATATTTAATAATTATTAGAATCGATTATACAATCAATGTACAAATAATACGCTGCAGTAAAAACCGTTCTTATCCGAACTTTTATTTTACGAGTAATCTTAATATCCGATCGTTGTACTGTTGCAACAAAATGTCTGTTAGTAAAAGTGATGATTGTCCAACAGTCAAATATCGAGATATTTTCAAAATAATGATACGGATAAAAAAGTTTCTGCTGTATTCAATTTTCTAATTACATTTCAACATCGCCGCTTTGTTCAATACTTTCAACGAATTAAAAGAAAAAAATAAATAAATAAAGTTATCATTCAAAATTGTCTTATCATATGCATTGCATCGATAACTGAGCAATGTCCATCAATTTCCTTTTACTTCACAGATTTTTTATTACGTAAGGTCTATGTTACGCCGATAGCATAGGCTTAAAGTTATTTCCTGGTATATCTTGTTTCTTATTTCATAATAACTTTATCTGCATGTTTTATAAAATTTGTTGCGAACGAATAACAAATGGTTGGATCTACAATAGTAATTGGACGTCGAATGAAAGGTTTTTATCTTCCAACCATAATTTCTGTGTGTTGTATTTATTCGTTTTCAGGAAGGGGAAGAATTCGACGTGCTTCCGTATCCAGGTGATTGCACGAAATATCTGGTGTGCCAGAAAGGCGTGTGCAACCTCGGTAGCTGCACATCCACCTACGTGTTCGATCCTGCGACCGGTACCTGTTCACATCGAGCACGTGGATTCGTCGATTGTGGTCTTCGTTCTCCAAAGAAGTATAGTCCCTCGTGGTGAAATAGAAAGTAATCGTAAAATCAGTCGAACGAAACGCTTACGAACGCTTCGACTGAGAGAACGGCCACTCAAAAGTCTTTGAGAAATGATTTCTTCAGTTTCGACGGGATTCGATGATCTCGAATTATTTGATACTTGGAACCTTCGGACGTTCTGAAAAATTTTGCATTTTGAGTCTTTCCAGTCTGCAGTCCCTAGGCCTTAAATCTTCGAAATCTTGATAGGCTTCGAAGATTCGAAGGACCGAAGATTCTCTGAGTTACGAGTACGTAACTCAGAGATTCGAAGGCATAGACGTTTCGAAATCGCGAAGTTTTCAGTAAACATTTTGAAGCCGACTAAATCCAGTAAGATCCGCCAAGACATTCAAGACTCTCGTCGAAACTTAAGGGTCAAGAGCATTTTTCAAAGCCAGTTCCAAGTATCGAGTCACGTTCGAATCGATTCGAAGAATTCCCGAGCGCGTCACTGTCTGCAATACGACCAACAACCTCGCTATTTCATCATCAGGGACCCTACTTCCACCACAGAAACTTCCTCGAGCTCGTTCTGACTCGAGAGAGTGTCGTCTGTCCATCTGTCCATGTATTCGTTTTGTAAAAATGTAACGCAATGAGAATAAAACTGCCAGAGAAGGTAAACTATCATTCGTCCGTCTCTCTCTTGCTCTCTCTCTCTCTCTCTCTCTCTCTCTCTCTCCTTTTGTGTTTCCGCTGGTGTAGCATTAGCAACAGCGCGGTCGGCTTCTTTATCAGCCCCCGTGTCTGATCGTTGTCAACAAGAGGCAATTTATTCTCTCTGGAGTCAATTGGCAAACAGTTCTATGTACACTCGCTTTATTAGCGTGTTGATAAAAGCACAGTTCGTCTGTCTTCCTTTCCCCCGCACGATGCGATTCCTCTCTTTCCCACCCGGGTTCTGTTAGCCCGTCCTGCTCGGACTGTTTCGATCGTTCGTCATCTTGCTCGTTCGTTTGCGTCGATTCGCGATTCTTTCTTCCTCGCGAGCGATGATCTCCTCGTTGACCCACGACCTCCGTGACTGATAACCCTTTCCTTTCTTCGTAGAGCGCGGCTTTTTTTCCCCTCCGAGAACGTCGGTTATCTGCAGCTTCTGGGTAAGTACGCGACGTGATCGTGAACGTACGACGATCTTGCTGGGAAAACCAGGTCAGCCTGCTGCGACGCAAGGCAGTATCGTCGAAGCGTCGAGGATGATGTCGCGGTATACCGATCGTTTCCTCGTCACTCTAGCTTTTCTCTGTTTCGTCATCGCTCTCGTCCACGCGGTACGTGCTCTTTTCCATTCTTTTTTTTTCCTCTTGTGCCTTGCCACCGGGCCGAGATGATTTTCTCGAAACGAATCTTACTTGAAGAGTTGACGCGACGTCTGTTTCGACGAATCGATATTTTTCTGGCTCGCTGTCATCGTTTTACGGTGTCGCTCGTAACTGCGAACGATATTCTTTCATTGTTGCACAACGATATATCTCTTGCTTTTTATTTTTATATTATAAAGCACGAAAAGTGTGTTCATATAACATATAAACTACGTTTTATTATGTCGCAATGTGAATTATGCATTGAATCAACAATTTATTATGGAAGATTTAAGGACATCAATGTTGAGAAAATATTTGAACAGCATCTAGATAATCGGTATACAAATTTTTTAAAGAATTCTGACGGAGAAATGGATCTTTATCTAAAACGATTTGAACGATGACAGCGGTTTTTTTTTTTTCTTTACACTTCTACGTAGTTTCTGTGTTTCGCTCGCACTGACGATCTCACAGAAAAGAAGTAGCTTATTAATATGTATTAATCAGATAAGCGTTGATAAGGGGAGCGATAAAGCTAAAGAATGTAGCCTCAGTAACAGTCGAAATGAAAAAAGTATAACGTTCATTGTGTTCGTTTCTGTGTTCATCTGTTTCCGATGAAAAACTATGAACAATAATCGTGTAAAATAAACAATGTTTATTTGTTTGCTTGTGAGAATAGTCGTCACAGTGTTGGAAATTAATTTGAAATTAATAAAGTCTTAATGCCAAACAAAATTCTCACATGGCATACACATACTGCACATTGATCTTTAATTTACAAAATAGATCTACGATCCCAGAGAGGTAACAACGAAACCACCGAAACAGAGAGAGCCAGTGCTCCCTTGGTACACGCCTGGCAGAGTAGACTCTAGCGAGGATCTGTCGCGTTCTCCAAAATGGCAGCTAGACTCGGACAGCCCCAGGAAACCGATCGTAATTGATGCTGAGTCGAAGTCGAAATGGAGCGCTTGGAAGAGAAACCAGGGTAGTGACATCGAGCAGAGAACGGAGATTCTCTCTGGTGATTCACAAAACACGACGGATTTCGATCAACACGCTGGCTCTTCTTTGGAGTACAGTGGAGTACCGTTGGAACAACAACAGGAAGACAAAGATTTGCCCCCTGATGGTTTCCAAAAGCAGAAAGACAAAGAGAAGAAACAGGATGCTTCCAAAGGAACTAATTCCCAGACAGTGACGAAGGATGACGATCAGGACGATTTTTACGAGGGATTGCCACCTGACAGCAAGGTAATATATTTATATATATTACCTTCTTTCTGTTTAGATCTGTGGGGCTCAGAGAATGAGAAAGAACTTTTTGCATTTCTTTAAATAAAAATTTGAATTTTTCACTTTCATAGAAGTTAATGGCCCCTTTCAGGCTTCCTACGTGTCAAATTTTTTAATAATAAGAATTACGTGTCACAGGGGCGGGGCATGGCCAATAACAAAATTGGAAGCCACTGGTTTAGATCGTAAATTTTAGAAAACCTTTTCTTCCCTTTCAAAAAGATAGAACGATCATTTTCCACTTGTTGTTCATATTCTTTGAAGATGTGTCGAAATAATTAGTAGTAAAACCTACATAATTTTTCCAGAAATCGCGCAAGGAGAAAATTTATCAATCGACGAAACAGAAGTTGACGGTGGCTCGATACGACGACAAACGGGGTGTCCAGTGTCCGGAATTCGACTCGACCGGGCAATTCGTGTACCCTCCAGACTGTCAATTTTTCGTAAACTGCTGGAAGGGTAGAGCTTTCGTTCAGCCGTGTGCACCTGGCACTCTCTTCAATCCGGACACCTTGGAATGCGATTTCCCACACAAGGTTAAGTGCTACGGCAAGGAGGTAGCTGATTTCCCATCGGACAAGCATTTGGATTCTTCGGAGGACCGCGAGCCATTGTTGTCTGGCAGTCATCAAGGTTACATGGAACATGGAAGGACACAGGTCAGCAATCGCGAAACGATTTTGTTTGCCTAACATGTTCGTAAACTAAGCGTTTATCAGTCCTTTCGTGCGTACATGGCGTTAGAAATTGTTGAACGCACGTTAGAGTGAATTGAGTTACAAAAAGTTTTTGAATGGTTCTTGTTCAACTATAAATATCTTCAACGTGGTGCTTTTAGTTCAAGTGTTATGTTGTTTTTGAAATATCAGTCCTATTTCAAGCTGCTTTATTCTATTATATATGAAGTCAAAAAATTGGGATTGAAATTGCTCAAGATAACATTAAAGACTGAGTGAAATACCTACTTTCAGATGTACGTCACGTAATTGTTCAGGAACGTTGAATTTTAATTACAGGAGCCACGATGTCCACCGCATATAACAGGCTTGATAGCACATCCCTCGAACTGTACGAAATTCTTACAATGTGCAAACGGGGGGACGTATATCATGGATTGTGCTCCTGGCACTGTGTTCAATCCCTCCATAAGCGTTTGCGACTGGCCAAACAACGTAAGAGGCTGCGAAGGTAACAATAATATATTAAACTGACAGACGATATACAAAGCATCGCTTTTTCAAAAAAAAAAAAAAAGAAAAAAAGGAACAACTGATCAATCTGTCTGCTCTGAATTTGTAAGGTCGAAAAATTTAAAAATTTCGATATTGATCGACGATTATTAATTGGCCAATTCAAGAATGTCAATGACACTTTGTCAAATAGACGCTGTAAAGTCCAAGGAAGAAGTTACGACGCCATTGGTTCCTCCCGACTACTACGAAGACTATGGAAACTTACAACATGGAAAGTTACAATATTCAAAGCCTGAACAGCCGAGGAAAATCGCTTGCCCTGTTGATTATACAGGACTGTTGCCCCATCCAGACACGTGCAAGAAATTCCTCCAATGTGAAAGCGGCGGGACATTCGTCATGGATTGTGGACCCGGTACAGCTTTCAATCCGGCAATCTCTGTCTGCGATTGGCCGTACAATGTACCTAGTTGCAACGAAGGTATATATCATTACAAGGCATACTTCAGCTATTTTAATATTATACCGATAGTATATCGATATTACACCAACATTGTGCCGATATATCGATTATACCAATATTGATACAGTAAGATCCTCGTATCCACACGTAGTTTGTTCGCACAAGTAGAGTGACGCACTTGAGAAAGTTGTTTCATCCGATCTTATCTATGATAACTACTTGTTATTTTGTCCAATAAAATTATGCATATACATCACAAGAGTATATTTACAATATCTGCTACACCTTTTTTCACAAGTGGACAGCATTGGTCATCTAACAGTGTCACGAGAGATCATCAATTTCCAAGAACTTAACTATCTCAAATTCCAATCATACGCTGTTACATCAGATCGGATACGGAGATTTCGCTGTAGTAATCCACTCTTTTACGAGATATCCACAACAAGTTGACAATTTATTCAAACGCAGATAAACCATCGCGAACGCAACACTCGCTCGGTTCACCTACAACAGCCACCAACAAACCGTGGCCTTCGTACCACGGTTCCACAGACTCGAGAACTTGGCAGCACACTCACCAACACAACCACACGTCACAGGGTCGTTACAGGCCAGGTTACACGCGCGACTATCCTAATCACCCCGTAACGACAGGTCGTCCAAGAACAGACTGGGATTCCTTGAGACCAACGTGGATACCAAGCTGGAAACCAAGTGCTTGGACCACTGCCACGCCACTGTATTCTCAAAGCTGGCAATCTACTAACACCAACCCGCATTACGGACCTTCTAACGAACAAACCGATCGCGATCGATGGGATCACGCGTCAGGATCAGACCGCGAACACTCTCAATGGCATCAGAATAGATACCATCATCATCATCATCGTCACTATCACTATCCTCACGGACCGGTTCACGATTCCGACCAAAATACCGAGACGCAGCAGCCTGTGGCTCCTCAAACACCTGGAAGCCAAGGAACTGAGACTGGAGGCTGGCATTCCAGTCACGGATACCAACACGAGCATCGTCATTATCATTACGGTGATCATGGTAGGCCAGAGACTGTTCCCAGCTATCCGTGGGATGCCGTGGACTCTGGTCAACAGACTCAACAGCCCGTCTTTGATCAGCCCGGAGATAAGCCTCCCACTCGAAGATTCGATTATTCTTCTAACAGAGAGTCTGCATTTGAAGATGGTAACGCGAATCAGGGTCGAGAGCTCACGCCTAACAGGCAAGAGTATGGAAGAACTGCTCCCGCGTTCTCTGCAGGACCAGGGTCTGACGTTTACGTGGATCGTAACTATCAGTCGTCCGGGGGTGGCGATTCGAGGTTTCACGTGCAAAACAGGACGAGCTGGCAGCCAGTGCCAACGGGGAACAGCTTTGCTCCTAGCAGCTGGGGTCAACAAGGTCCAGAACAGGCGCCAAATCAGAATCAAGATCGGAATCGACAGTGGGATCAAGGTGATTCTTTTTTTTAAACTTGGTACAGTTGGTCGATTGATATAATGGCTCGTCAATGCGTTTGAATATTTAATTTCTTCGATTTAAGCCACCAACATTCTCAATGGTATCATAATTTTCGTGATTATATCTTTGTGATGTTTAAGTGGATTCTTTAAATTGAATTTGGAAATGTATGTGGAAGTGACGAGATAATTTCTCGCAATCTCGAGTCATTTTATCAATTTTCCATCGATTGTTTTGCGTTGATTCATTTGCACGAATGTTTCGCTTTTTGCATGATTTAGGTGAAAATTAACAAACACGCCTGGTGCATGAAGGCTCTTTGCATGTCTAACAGCATAAATATGAAAATTTTACTTTTCTTTAAATTGATCTATTTACTTTTCTCAAATTTCTTCTTTTTAAATCGTTGAATTGTTCAATTTCGTGACAAAAGTATTTAGGAAAAAACCCTCGGATGATTGCGTTATACGTAGATTATAAATACACAAATACATGTACATATCTTTAAGGAATTTTTCTACGATAAGCCGTAAGTAAAATTACAAATATCATAATTACTTACTTAAAATTTTAAATCTTCTTTGTAATTTTTTCTTTTTTTTATAAAACATCGCTCGATTGAATAAAAATGCGGAAAAGTGGGAAACGAACGACGTATGTGTGTGTTAACGCGTTGCCTTGCTTGGTGGGTAGTTTTTACTTCTCTGGGTAAGTAACGCGATCTGATAAACAATTCTAAGGACGAATCTCTTTCAGGTACCTCTGACGTGGATGACAAATTTCGTGAATGGGGATCTGAAACGAATATTTATCAGAGCACGGCTAACAAACAAGCAGATTCCAAGTTAAACGCATGGCCGAATATTTTTCTCCATGGTAAAGGACAACATGGATCAGGTATTTTGATCTATTGTAATCCTTTACAACAACTTTACAACGACAGATTTAATTTTTATTCGACAATGAGTCAAACGTGTCTTGATACAGATTGATTTTTACAATAAAACATTTTATTCATAAACCGAGCGGTCTGACTAGGAATTTTCATTAACGTTGTTCGTAGGAGCAAAGACTACTTCGAACAATTCAACGAAACTTTTCTACCCAAATGGCATATACGTGAATTTAAACGACACAAGAGGCCATTTTATCACGAAAGAAATCGAAATAGATCAAGGCCATTCGAAAACGAAGACTTACAGGTCGAACGACGTTCGCGGCTTGAACGAGTTTGACAGAAACGACAGAAATGTCTATGTTGACTCTCAAACCACCAATTTCGATTACATACCGTCCGCGGTTCTTCAGCCACCGCCCATTTCCGTCGTTGATCGTTCTGAGCCTGAAAACACGCGTCACGGGGACAGTCATCGATATCCAAAAACTCACTGGACGAGTAACTGGAATTCTGCGAGTTCTGAAGATTTAAACGAATCTGGTAATATTTACTTTTACTTTGTTAAACTTCTCAACGGTGAAAATCTGAATTAACTACGAGTTAAAGCCACGAAGAAGAAGTTACGAGGCTACCGAAGGCTCTGAATCGATTACGAAAAAAATTTCCAACAAGTTCGAACGATAGTTTCCTAGATAGTAATTACTTCGTATCGTTGGAACGTTGAATTATTTTCTTTAGAACGCTCTCGATTTAACAGGTAGCCACTACAACCGTGTGTCCGTGCCATCGTCGAACCTTCAGCCGCCGTACGCATCTCTCAACTTCTTCTCACCGTTGGTAAATTTCTCAAAAACTGACAATTACAGTCCGTCTACAAATCTTCAACCGCCATTCTATCGGCCTGCGAACAATACGTTCCCCATCGGCTGGCAGTATCCGTCAGTTCCGTCCGTCGAACTTCAACCGCCATTCGTCGAACCGACGAGACGCAACAAGCAAAATTTCACGAGATCGCTGGGTAATTTTCAACCTCTGAGCCAGCTGACTCCTCCAAATTTCGTTCCAGACGTCACCGGCCAGTATCCGCACGTTCCGTCGAGCAATCTCGAGCCGCCGTTCGAGGAATCCAGTGATCGAACCAACGATTCGTCTGTAGCGCAATTCGTCAGTAGCGCGAATCGGGAAATCGCGCCAAACGCGCAGAAGCTTTACCAGAGTAACGAGAGGCCTGAGAATGAAACGATCACGACGACCGATTCGAACGTGCCGGTTGTGTGGATAGAGAATGAAAGTAATTCGAATACAGATTACCCAGCCGTTGTCGAGCCTGATTTCGACGAGGTCGACGTGCTGGTCGACAAGAGAGCTTGGAAGCCGGTATTGGTTTTTGTGAACAGGACTCAGACGACTACCACGGAGTCTTCTGTCATTATGAAAATCAACAAGAAGAAGGCGGACGTGGATCTCTTTAATATCGAAGCTGCTCCGTTTGAGGATGGTAAGTCTAGTGTTAATGTACGATCGAAGATTATGGAGGTTCAACGTGGTAAGTTTATTTATTGATTCAGATTTCGTGTGACTGAGATTTTCGTTTTCTTTCCTTTTTTGCACTATTTTGATTGGCTTTTGGCATGAATTCGCTCTTGGAATGATCATTTGACGCTGGGCTTGAAACAGAGTTCGAGATTGTAACGGAGTTTTATTGTACACGATAGTTGACAAGTTTGCTATTGAATGAGAGAATTCTCATACAAAAAGTGTCGAATGTCAAATTTTCCAGGAGGAAGACAGTGGTTATCATAGAAAAGCAAAAATATGTTTTCTTAATATATGTTTTTCTCTTCTTTTCCAAGTAAAATCAGAATACAATAATGGCTGTAAATTCGATGTTCGACACTTATTGTATTTTCTACGAGGACTCTTCAATTTGTTATAGCATTACAACAATATACAGCGTAGTGTTTAACGAGAAAATATTATTTTACAGAAGAGCCGCCATTTCCATCGTACTACATTCCATCGGTGGAACCGATGGATCATTCCAGAAAAACTGCTTTGCCAACACCGATTTCCGGCCAGGTACGGCTCTCGTTTTCTTCAAATATTTTGGCTGAAAATCGAGAATTCATTATTGACAAGAAAAAAATTTTTAGGTGATTCGACTTAGGGGTGGTTCTGGCCCCTACGTTGGATACGTCGAAGTTCAAGGTACGAATCCCGGTTGGGGAATCGTTTGTGACTCGAAATACAGCTGGACTTTGAAAGAAGCGCATGTCGTGTGCAAACAACTTGGATACCCCAGGTACTTTATGAACATGACAGCTTCGAATTAACAAAATTGACCATCTATCTGTATCGATCTTAGTTCTTCCACATTTTATTCTGTTATTTCCCTTTCTCGTACATATATTTCAGTTATTCTCAAGAATAATACGAAATTCTGAAATATTCTTAAGAAAAAATTTAATTATTAATTTCTTAATAATAAATCATTGTTTTGTAATTTATTATATAATTTCAATATTTCGTATTATGTTATATTATAGTAAGATTATGGTATAAGGTTATGTTATGTTATAATAAGTTATTGTCGCTAGATGGCAATGTTTATTAAATTTGAAGAAAACGATATTACTTATGGGTAACTCTAATACATGTAGCGTTGCATATAATAACGATATATTTTACAGGTATAATTTGACAAAAATTATGTATGTCGACGATTTGAAATTCTGCAATAGGACGGTATACATGAATGCGAGATGATGGAAACTTCATTGTTTTTTACAGCGGCGCCGAGGCGGCTTGGCAAGGGAGAGACTCTCGCAACGGTGTGCCAACTTGGATCGCCGCAAACTCCGTCTCGTGTCAGGACCACGAAAGCAAATTTCAATCGTGCAAGTAAGACGCCACGTCCATGATCGCCCCTCTTCGCTATCTTTTTCACTCTCGTGATAACGAGCCTCCGGCGTATCGGGAAAACATTGCATAAATCGTCGAAACAATCGTTACGAGTCATTTCTCGGAAACTCCAAGAGAACGTTTTTGGAAACATAATCAAAAATTCAGGAATTTTGCCACGTGAATTACAGTTCAACGTTCAACGAAGATTTATTGTTTCTAATCCAGACGAGTGGCATAACTGTATAATAAATATTTCAACTGATATAATTTCGTTAAAAGAGAAGATATCGTGTAACGATCCGTTTGGCTTCATTTTAAAGCACGAAACTTCTACTTTGATAGTAGCGAGTTCTTTCTTTCTGAGAATGACGGTGGAAAAGATATTCAAACACGTGTGAAAATATTAAAAAATTTCTTCCGTGACTAAACCTACCATCATTTTGAACATTGAGGTTTGCTGTAGGATTTTGTTTTCTTCAACGTTTTATTGAACTTTAAACATCAGAGTTAGATGACGGAAATTTCTTGAATTTTTTGTCTTTTAATCCTGACATTCAACGTTCAATAAAATGATTAAGAAACTCGAATTTTAAAGTGTCGTTATGAAAGAAAGACATTAATCTTCAAAACGGTGGTACATCCGGTTTCACAATATTTTTACACACGTTTGAATTTTTAATCTTCGAGAGAGAAGTAGAGATTTCAGACATAAGTGAATCGTTGTACGATCTTCTTTCACAAAGTTACGGTATTGGTATAAATCATCGACAATTTTTCATTGTCATTGATATAAGGTTACGTTCTTTGCTATACGTACCCATAGAATACCCGTTTCGATTTTATGACTTACGTCAAGAATCCTCCGTGACAATCACGAAGAATCACGAGGCAACAGTATTTAGCTGAGGATTCTAGCGCTTGGGTTAAACCGTAAAATTAAATTTAAATTTTAAATTAAAGATTAAACGTTCTTGAAATTATTGCCAAGATAAAACGATATTTCTTCTTACGTATCGCGCAGATTTACGCACGTTCAGCAATGTCGCTTGGAGAGAGACGCAGTCGGCGTAAGGTGCGTGCAGAATCGAGTGGCTCACTGTCGCAAGGACGAGACGGCACACGAGGGTCAATGTTACCACATAGCCGAGTCTGAGAACGGCTTGAACCACCAGGAAGCGTTGGATTATTGCACACGGCGACAATCACGGCTCCTCGATATCACCAGCCAAGCGGAGAACGATTTCATTTCCGAGTGGGTGGTGCAAACTCGACCGGAAATCGCGTCGATTATGACTTCTGGCGTCGGCTTCACTACCATGAATCGCACGCTCTGGCTTTGGGAGGATGCTTCTCGCGCGAAATTTAGGTACGCTTATTTCCATCAGATTGAACGGCGAAGGATTATATTACAATTATTTATAATTATAATATAAATTTTAAGATTATATTACAATTATTTATAATTACAATATATATATTATAAAATATAATATATTTATAATATATTATAAAAGGATTATATTACAATATAAATATTATATATATTTATAATATATTATAATATTTATATTGTAATGTATATATTGCAATTATAAATTTATATTTGTATTGTAATTGTATATAATATTTATATTGTAATATAATATATATATATTTGTAATATATTATAAAAGGATTATATTACAATTATTTATAATTATAATATAAATTTATATTATAATTTATTTATAATATATTATAATGTTAATATAGTATATTATAATTTATTTATAATTTGTATTTGTATTATGTATTTTTATTATATTTGTATGATACAATGCAAATATAATTATAAATTAGTATACATTATATAATTATAAATTATTATTATATTTGCATTTTATTATATTATAACGTGTATTATACATAATTCATAATTATATAATAAAATGATATTTGATAATTCACAATAATATAATTTAACAATTCAATATTCATATAATTCATAATAATATATAAGTCAATCGAATGTTGCATTGAATTGTATCATAAAAATATTTCACAAATATTACATCACGTTTGTCGGTCAGTTACATCGAGCAATTGTTAACTAGGTTCACGAAATGGTGGCCAGGTTGGATGGGGGACAAGAAACATCCCCCGATCGTGGGTTTTCGACCTGTTTGTATAGTAATGAAGCGGAAATTCCCGTGTCACGACAGGCCAGACTCGATATGCGTAGCTGATTATTTCTTCTGGGACGCGGAGGACTGCGCTGCCTCTGGCAAGGGCCACTCTTTCATTTGCAAGAGACCCTACGACGACATTGGTAAGAACTTTACTCGTTAATTGATACTTCAACACGAGAAGTTTTTTTAAAAGTCACTCCACATTGAACTGATTGTTTTTATTCATTAACTAACATCGAATCTCCATTCATTTCTCCTATTTCTCCTAGGTTGCATTTATGGAAAAGGAAATCAGTACGCTGGAACAGCGAACGTCACGGTGTCAGGGAAAGAATGTTTATCGTGGGGCGATCCGGAGGTCGCTCACTCGCTCGAAATTCACGTCAGTTTGTCATACTCTCGCAGATTTACTCTTCTCTGCTTAAACTTAAAATGAAACGAGGATTAATTTTTTTTCAAATACTTAATTTCTTTAAATTAAAGAAATTGAAAAATTATTTATTAAATTTAAATTTAATATTAAATATTAAATTAAATTTAAATTATTTTCTTAAATTAAAGAAATTAAAGAATTATTTATTAAATTTAACGTTAAATATTAAATTAATTATTTAATATTAAATTAAATTCAAATCATTTCCTTGAATTAAAGAAATTAAAGAATTATTTCTTTAAATTACTTTTTTTAAATTGAATTAAACTAAATTAAAGTGAATTGTTTATCCTTAGGTTCTTAATCGGGATGTGCGAGAAAAACTGAAGACCCACAATTACTGTAGAAATCCGAATTCGAACAGAGAGAACAAGCCTTGGTGTTTCACGGGGCCACGTGGTGAGAAGGAGCATTGCGACATTCCACCTTGTGGAAATCTAGGTGGAAATAATATTTTTCAATTAATAATATTATTACTATTTAATAACTTTTTTTTTACCAGTTTCTTCGTTTCTCGTTTTGCGCTTCATAATTTTTCTACTAGGTTCTCAGAGGTCGGTTTCGATGGGTCAGTGCATGCCCAAGCATTTCGAGTGTTCACCGGGAGAATGTATTCCATCGACGTGGGTCTGCGATGGAGAAGAAGTACGTGAATTTAAGAGGGAACTTTGAAATTATGTAAATGATTCTCGCATTGATTAACACTAGAACTGCCGACATAAAGATCAAAAAATTGTTTCAACTACTTTGGTAGTTTCGTTGTTAAGTAATCAAGCTGACGGAGATCGGAAATTGATATGTTTGATATATTTCAAGGATTGCACGGATGGAAGAGACGAGAGTAATTGCGTTTCATACATGGATTTATATCAGAAGTATTCCAAGCATAAACTGGAAGGGTACGACGTTCAAAAGTGGTTACACACATCGTTGAAGACGTGCGCTCTCAGATGCAAAGAGGCTGATTTTACCTGCCGATCCTTTTCACATAAGTGAGTATACATGTGATTACTATCGTGCGTTCAGGTCCAGAATCAGGAGCTTGAACTTTCTTTACTTATTATTGAAGGAAAGAGAGTTTTACTTATTAAAGAATTTATTTCTAAAGAAAAAAATGAATTTACTATTAAAGAAAACTTTCTTTACTTATTAAGAAAAAGGGAATTACTACATTATATAGTTGATATTAAATTGTTTTAAGAAAATTTTAAATTATTATATTATATAATTATTAAATTTTTTTTTTTTTTAAAGCACACGTGAACACGCAATTTCTAGTAATTTTTGAAATTTATTTTGCTTCCAGGGCAGACGAGAATATTTGTTTCTTAAGCGACAGCAACGTGGGAATGACGGGCTCTTTAAAGCCTAATAAAGAATACGACTACTACGAAATGAAAGACAGAAGCGTCGACTGCAAAGGAATGTACGTCTGTGAGAATCGCAAGTGCATAAATCAAAGCCAGGTGTGCAACGGAAAGAACGACTGCAACGATCGTAGCGACGAAACTATCTGCACCGTGGAAAATTTAGATTACGATATTCGGCTGGCTGGCACGGAGAACGACTACCAAGGCAGAGTTGAAGTTAAAAGTAATTAAATTAAATTTTCGCGCTAAATTTTGCATTCTCTTTCTTTTTCGCGAGATGTTTTTAAACGTGAGATTAGATATTTTCTTTTTTTTCTTTTACGTAGCAGCATAGTCTTTTGGCTATTTTTTTCTTTTTTATCTTCTATCTAAATACGACTAGTTATTTAACTCTAATTCTAATTCCAAGTAAATAATTTCGACTGTAAGATAAATTGAAAAATTGAAACGTTTTTTGACGGCACGAAAAATATTTACAGTTTTGGGCGTATGGGGACAAGTGTGCGACGACGGTTTCGGAATGATCGACGCTGATGTAATTTGCAAAGAGCTTGGCTTTGTTCTTGGCGCACTGGAAGTAACACCGGGAGGATTCTTCGGGAATATGGATCCACCAACTAGATTTATGGTGGATCAGTTAAAATGCCGAGGCAACGAGACTTCTTTACGCGAATGTGATTTTGATGGGTGATTTTCACCTCCTTGGAAAAAACTTCGAGGAATTTTATAAATTGAAACATTTTTTAATCACGCGTTGTGAATTTGAAGACGAAACGATCTGACTCGACGGATCAACGTGTTTCTTTTTCTTTTCTTTTTGTAGCTGGGGTGTTCACAATTGTCAACCGGAAGAGGCGGTAGGCGTTGTTTGCAAGACTGCGGTTAATACCTGTCAGGATGGCCACTGGAAGTGTGACAAAAGTCCAGCGTGTATTCCAACTGCGTTTATATGCGACGAGGTTGTCGATTGTCCGGACGGTTCCGACGAGAATTCTGAACATTGTGACGTGAGTAACACGTAAATGTAAATCTTGACTTTCAAACATTTTTCAAATTTCACTCTTGATACTATTTTGGTTATATTATTGGTTTACAAATCACTTTGAAGATCCAAAGAAATTTTTCTAATCAACGCTATTGAGAAACACTATTGGAAAATCTCTTCAGTGCAAAATTAATTCAGACCGTAAAAGAATTGTGGATAAATCGAAAACCTAACGACTCTTGGATAGAGGGAAATCTGTTCTTGAAAAACCCATTTTGCTTCGTAATGATATCTCAATCCGTTCCAAAGATACAACTTCTAGCAAAACAAATAAATTTCGACTATAAAACAATCTTTGCAAAAGTCAGTCATCGAAAAGTTAATAATTTATTACACTCAACAAACGGAGAAAAATATGTTCTTGAAAACCTATTTCGTTTCACGTCGATATCTCAAGCGTTTCCAAAGATGTAACTTCTAGAAGTGTTTTGACCGTAAAAGAAACTTTTGCAAAAATCAAAAAGTTAACAACTTGCTACGCTCAGTAGATAGGAAAACATGTGCTCTTGAAAGCACATTTTGTCCCACGTCGATATCTCAATCCGTTCCAAAGATACAACACTTTGAAATACAGCGTGTAAAACATATATTATGAATGGGGGATTAAAGTCCTTGGAGACAACGTAACCTACTTTCTTTTCCTGAAAGCGCGTACGCATGGCGAAAAAAAAAAAAACTCAGACGATGTCTAGCGCTGACCAGCGCACGTGGGCGGCGTGTGAGGCAGGTCAGTGTGCTTGTGCGAGCGAGAGGCTCGATCACGTGCGAAAGGGAGAGAGAGAAAGAGAGCACGGACCTCCGAAAATTAGGCTCCACTTCAGACGATGATATCTCAGGAACGGGAGATCGTATCGACTTGAAACGGAAAGCATTTGAAAGGGGAAGGTTTCCCGCTTCCAACGATCTGGTAACATCACGCTGTGACTTTGCGCATGGAATCGGAGGGTGATTGAAAAATGGGTTTGTCAATACGAACGATTCGACGGGATAAATTAATTTTGAGGGTGACGTTGGCGAAAAGTATGAATCACGTGCGTGTTTCTAGAAAGTATTACACAATGGTTGTTTGTGAGCGTAGATATTAAGTGGCAGATTCAAATTAAGATGATTTCTGTCAGTCTTGGATAGGCAATTGTTTTTTAAAAAATGTGTTTTATAATGTTTTTGGATGAAGATGTATGGTTGTGATGGTTTTTAGGTATCTTAGGTAAGCTAGGGATATTAATCGAGAATTTTTATTTATTTGGTCCCAAGCAAGACAGCGAATGAAGATTCTTTTAATTATGCAGGAATAGGTTTATCTAGGATTATCTACGTATTCCTCGTGATCGTTTTAGGCACCGTTCGAGATACGTTTGGTGAATGGAAGTTCACCACTAGAGGGAAGGGTGGAAGTCCGTCACCATGGTATATGGGGCACCGTTTGCGACGACGATTTTTCAGTTGCAGCTGCAACGGTGATTTGCAGATCGTTGGGATACGGTGGACCTGCAACTCCAAAGAAAGATGGATACTTTGGACCGGGAGAAGGACCAATCTGGCTGGACGAAGTAAGTCTCCTGAAGCGGAGAGCAGTATTAAAAAATTAATACTCGAATAAATAAATAAATAAATAAATAATTCTTCATTTTTCACCTCGATTTTCACGCTGATAGCGCCTACTTTTTATTAAATCTTTGTATTAGAATAACATTTTTCAACAATGATTTCATTCGTCTCGATACATCTACTATAATACTTTCTATCCACTATTTCCAAATTTTTACTTTTTTAAAAATTTTTCTTTTATGTTATCTTAATTCCACGATTTAAAAGACAATAATATATATTCTTATATTAAAGTGAAGGATTGTTTCTTGGTAAATCGATAAATTTCTCGACTTGACGATGTTTCGTATCACTCAAACGCAAACGGTGTTTTGGACGAAGGTTTTCTGCCACGGGAACGAGACCCAGCTGTATCGATGCGACCACAATCACTGGGGTCAGCATAACTGCAATCACGACGAGGACGCAGGTGTGATTTGTACACCTGGAGACGTTAACGATTCCAAGGTAAATCGAAACACTCTCCCCCGACGGTGGGGCTTTTAGGTTAGATCATAGTTTCCGTCGACGCGTGACACTTGATCAAGTACCTCAGTACCTGTAGACGGTTGTGCTGCGAACAAATTGAACATCACACAGACTTTATTGCTTGGCCAAACATTGAAAATTTTTCTAATCGAGAGATTCGATTTGTAGGAAAAGTGGCATTGCATGGCGAGAGTTGAAAGATTCCTTAATGTTCGATTTAAAAATAATAAAATCTCATCTTATATATGTAGTATATATATATACGTAATAATAATCAATTATCACATCGACTTGACACGTTTGATTTTATTGTAATTCCTAGTCAAGCGCAATACCAATAAACTCGATCGGTTGTTACGTCGTAATAGCAAACTCGCCAGAGGTTTGTAAATCGATCGATATCACGCTTGATCTTAGTTTCAATAAATGATGAGCTTACGCAACGATTACGTGGCTTGTTTACTTCGATCCTTGACCCCTGGCCGTCCTCCTTTGTCCGTCCGACATCCGTCAGATCGCAATCATCGATTAAATAATTGCAGTTGCACTTGGAGACAGTGTTGCGTTTACCAGAGAAGGATATCAATGATATACTTCCGGCCAATTGCGGCAGACGATTCAAAGATTTTAATGAGGATGAGGATCTCATATTCGAGAAGGTGGTGCGTGGCAACGTCGCGTCGAAAGGGTCCTATCCCTGGCAGGTAATTATATTATATTGTTTTCTTAATTCCAATCTAACCTAATCTTCTTTCAGATCTTCCTTTTTTCATTCGAATTTAATTTTAACTCTAATCTAATCTTTTTTAAAATCTTTTCCAACATTTTCTTAATTCTAATTCTAATTTACATTAAATACTTTTCTCAATTGAAACTGGAGACGCGTTAATCAACAATTATTTTATAGTATCGTACGTGATTTGAAGTTTCAAGAACACTTGAATACACTTCCGATGAATTCTAAATAGGTCCAAGTTAATTCCAAATTAATTCCAAGTAAATACATTCCAATTCTAATCTTTTCTTAATTCCAACTCTGATCCGTATTAAATTCTTTTTCTTAATTAAAACTGCAGACGTGTCGAAAGTTAACAATTATTTTTTAGTATCGTACGCGATTTGAAAATTCGTGAATATTACTTCGAATGAATTCTAAATAAGTCTAAATTAATTAATGAATAAATATTGTATTTCACAAATCTGTAGCAATCAATTTCTTTCCTCTCGATCATTATCATTTTTATCGTTTCTGGCCTTTCTGACATTCGCAGGCCAGCATTCGCGTGCGAGGGCACAGCAGATCGAATCATTGGTGTGGAGCGGTGATTGTCTCTCCTTTGCACGTGCTCACCGCTGCGCATTGTTTAGAAGGATACAACAAAGGAACTTATTTCGTTCGTGCTGGTGACTACAATACAGAGGTAACTCGAATCTTTGCTGTCCTCTGTTTAAAATTTAAACTCACTTGCGTATCTTGCAATTTTTTTTACGTATCATTTAGAACTACGAAACATTGTCGTAGAGAGAGAATGTGTAAAAATCTCGGTGAAATATTCATATTGCTTCTCTCGACAGATATTTTATAAAAATACGATGTTGGTATCGAAAGACAATTCCAGGCACAATTTGATCTATCTTCGCCAACAAAGTGAAATTTAAGACACTGCCGTAGCTTTGAGATTTCTTTATTGTCAGATAATATTTTGAAAACTTGCACAGCTGTTTTTGAAATCGACGCCGAACAAACAATTGTTAACAAGATCGTGCATTTCCTTTTTCTTCAAAACAAGCTGGAACAATTAGCTGTCAACACAATCAATTTGCGTTTTAAACTGAAGTTAATTACGTTTCATTAAAAAAAAAAAAAAAAAAGAGTGTAAATCCAATAAGAAAAGCTGAAATATACAAATGTTTAAAGTATTAAAATAAGATGAAAATCACCGAGATATCGATTCTTGTAAACTAAAAGAATCTTATACTACCTTGAAAGAAAATTATCTTAATCGATTGCGTATCACTTTAGAATAATTGTACTTTCTGCTCGTTTGAACAGAACTATAATTATTTCGTTGTTTAGCTGTCGAACGTAGAAGCAACGTGTTTGTTTGATCCACTTGTAATGTGAATATTTAAAGATGGAAGAGGGAACGGAGATCGACGCCGATATCGAAGATTATTACATTCACGAAGAGTTTCGCAAGGGGCATCGAATGAACAACGACATTGCTCTGGTGTTGCTGAAAAGACGAGGAATCCCTCTTGGCAAGGATGTTATGCCAATTTGCCTGCCGTCGGAGCAAGCCGAGTATCCGCCAGGTCTTAATTGCACCATTAGTGGATTTGGCAGTGTCGAGACTGGCAAATCAAGTAAGTGACTCATCAAAGACATTATCAACCTGTTAACCGGATGATTTCCTGGTCAGAAATTCCTTTCAGCCTGATGTAAAAACATCGACACATCGTGACACAGGTTCGATTGTGTTTCAACATTTCCTCGATCAATTTATAATATCGAGAAGCACGGTAAAATTCGCAAAATTCAAGAAACTCTAGAAACATAAAATATCGAAAGAGCATGTTGATCTTAGAAAAATTTAACGAATCAGGCACGACTGTGTAATTAAATTGGTTGTAATTAAATTATCGAAAGTACAATTATTATTATGAACTTGGTTGAATCAAGAGGAAATTTTCATAGTGTGTACAAAATATTTTTTTTTAACCACTGGCACAAAGCGACGGCACTTTAATCGAACTGAATAAATACTAACAATAGAGAAACTCCGGAGATCTCGTTCGGGAATGTGTAATATGTCGCTCGCTTGTTGTGCAGCTCATTCCAAAGATCTGAGATACGGCTGGATACCGTTATTAGATCAGTCTGTGTGCCGTGCCGGACACGTTTATGGCGAGGGCGCAATCAGCGACGGAATGGTCTGCGCCGGATATCTCGATGAGGGTATTGACACCTGTGACGGAGATTCTGGCGGCCCATTGGTGTGCTTGCACAACGGTAATGAAACGAAAGTTTGACAAGTTGATTGAATTTCTCGACGAACGAGGCGATCATTTAAAAGAAAAATAGAGTTGATACATCCGCGTGCATTGATACGTACAAGTAATTTCTAAAGTGGTTCAATTTTCAACAGGCGAGATGAAGTTTCAATATATTCAGCGAAAACAACGCGAAATTCAGCAAACAACAACGAGAATTAATGTTAAATTAAATCAAATTTTCGCAAAGAAACGAATTGCAGGGAATCAATCCTTTATTATAAAATAATAATTCCAACGACGCTTTTGCGTCGAATTGGAATTTTTATCAAGCCATCGTGCTAGACTTTGTGAATAACGAATCTGTAGCGGTCGTACGTTTTACGTTGAAGTTAAGACTCTCGAGGTAAAGCTTTCGGAGCTAAATCGAGTTTTCGAAGTTTCAATTCAAGTTCCGCCGAGTTGTTTGCGAAATTAAACTCTTACTGTAATAGAAGTATTTTTTATGCTCTCTCTATCTCTGTCCGATCAATAGAATCTTGTAGAATCAATATTTCACGTAGCCTGCAAGTTGAGCCTCGTGTAAAATTAATAAAAGAACGCGTTATTTATTATCTTCTTCTTGCTTTCTTCGTTCAACGCAGGGGCTTTCACGTTGTACGGGCTTACGAGTTGGGGACAACACTGCGGCAAAGCCAACAAACCTGGTGTTTACGTCCGAGTTTCTCATTATCGTCAGTGGATCGATCGGAAAATTAAAGATTCTCTCGCCGGAAGATAGGAAATGCCTTGGAGCTTTTTTCTAAAATTTAAATAAAACATCTAAACGAAACAACCACGTTGTTCACAACATTGTATACTTATTGTTTTAATGCTGTACTTTTGTAGAGATGTAAGTTATTATACGTATAGCGTAACTATACTATTGTTATATTAGTAAATATATTGTTATTATTATTATTAAACCGCGCTATTATCAGTTGTTTGAGCGTTTAATAATAATAAAGAATCGTTTGTACAATTTGTGTAACATGTTAATTCTTCGTTACTTATAAGATCTGTAGAGTGGGTCCGAATTTTCTTGCCACTTTTTTTTTCGTTTTTAATAAAATATCAAAATATAAGGAAAAACTAATTTTAAATTACTAGTGTACTTTAATCTGTAAAAAAATTTGTAAAAAAATATGTAATAAAAGAATTACTGATTTATTTTAGTAAGAAATGATTTTTGGCCCACTCTGTGAAAATTAACTTACCTTTCGCAAAATTTTCTGTTGCATTTAATTCTCTCGTCGTATCTAGTATCTAATATGTGATTCTGGTGCGATGAAGACTTCAAAGAACACTGTTTGGAGAAACGTCCATTAATCTGTAGTTTATTTCGTAAGACATCATCGTTTCTACAATAATTGTAATTGTTGTCTCGTCGCTGTTACATGTTTGAGCCTATTTATGTACAATAGTCCCAACATATTCGATCGGATGATAACTGAAATAGCACTGAAAACCGAAATGTGTTTTCCATTGTGTTTCCCCCGTGTGTATGTGTGTGTGTGTGTGTGTGTGTGTGTGTGTGTGTGTGTGTGTGTGTGTGTGTGTATGTGTGTGTTGTACAATAAAAGTCGCACGTACAAACGATGAAACGAACACGAAAAGAACGTGACGTGGGATGAAGATTTTCGGTGATCTACGTACATTACGAGATTTGCAAAAAGTCGTATAACATTGGTACGAAATCGTTGTACATAATCTATCCAGGCTGATCGATCGGCAGCTGTATCCGTCCGTAAACAATTTTCGTTTTATTGACTTTGTTGCAACATTGGCAGTTATTCGGTTGTATGGATATATCCTTTCCCCTTCAGCCTCAACACTTTTTTTCACTGTATATACAATATGTGTGTTTTTGTACAATCAGATAAAAATAATCGTCAGAAAAAATTGGATGATAAAATATTGCAAAGGAGGATAAATTTTCTAACCATTACCAAACACACGTGTCCTTTATAATTTTCATTATAATGATTTTTCTACTGAATCGTACGATAAACTATGCGTAACACGATTAAAAAATAAAAGTTACTGAAATTTTCAATTTCATTCAGATTTGAAAACAGATTTAAATGGATTTAAATGGAACGAATTAAATTAAACTGGTGATGAACTCACGCATCGTTTCATTACTTTTCCTATACGTCTCTCGATTCAATTCTGTAAATTCGCCCTACGTATATTGACATGTGTTTCTTATTTTAAAAAACTTTCGCCAACGCATTGGTAAAAAATAAAAGGGGGAGGATCAAGCTGCCGATTGTTCAGCCAGTTACGTTGGATGTTTTTCCATATTCGAATCTAAAAAGAACGGATCGCAGTACGATGTTAAATTCGATCGACGAAAATCTGCAACGATCGATTCTGTTCCGATTTCTCCTTTCATTTGTCTTCTTTTTCTATAGGAGGATTCGTGTTTTTTTTTTTTAAACGTTCGATCCCTCGAGCGAGGAAAGGAACAACGATCGTCACGAGATTGTTCTGGATGGAATCGAGGAGGGAAAATATCGTAGAGTAAAGAAAGTGATAATCGCAAGCGATAATTGGCGAATGAAAAAAGACACGCTGGCCCTACGTAAAACTTTCGACCGTGCAAGTTATAAACGTCTTATAATTAAGGGAATGTCGACCAAAAAATACGCTTAACACAAAACTTAACGTTAATTCTAACTCCAGTACTCTTAATTTAGGCATAACGCGATGCGTGTCCTGGCTCGATCGGAAAACATGGCGCTTGTTTCAGTTGTTCCGCGTAAAATATTAGTTTGAATTGAACTTTTGAAATTAATCCATGGACAAAGGAAATCGACGTAAGTTTAACAGTAAGTTTGCTTAAAATTAATCAGAGGCTTGCAGCGGATCATTTCTCAATATATCCTACGCGATACACTTAAAAAAATACGTTAAAAAAAAAACTAAAATAATAAAAGATTCTTCGATAAAATGTTTCTGCCACTGATGCAAAATACTGATCCAAATCACACAAACGTTTCGAAACGAAAGTACACGCTTTCGATCAAATTCGAACTGTACTCTCAACTTAAGTTACAATCGGTGTACAATATATCAAAGATACATTATCTTTCGAAAGTTCTTCTCAAAGAAAGAAAGAACAACGCAACGAGAGAATTAAAGTAAAGACTCTCTCAGAAGAGACTTGTTGTAAAAAATTACAAGACAAGTGCTCGTGTTTTCGAATCGCAGCGCGAACAACGCCACGGATTTCCGACTAACGATCTAGTGACTAGACAATAAGCAAGTGTGCTCTCGTACTCTCTCCGAATCAATCAATCAATCAATCAATCAATCAAACAACGATGAAAGTAGGTTGGTGTGTGCTAGAAGGTATCGTTAGGCGATCACGGATCGATCGATCGGCGATTAACGTGGTCTCGACAGGCCTCTCGATTCTCTCTCTCTCTCTCTCTCTCTCACACACACGTCGACGCACCACGGCGATTCGAAGAAAAATTTTCCGAAAACAGATTCCCTCGCGTTTCCTTGCGTGCCGCCGCCTCCCCCCCAATTAAATTCGTTTACGACCTATCCAACCTTACAGCCTAGATAACGCATAGATATACGCATATGTTACGTGTCATATAATTATATCATATATATATATACACGACTTTTTTCCTCTTTATGTACAAGAATCGCAACTATCAGGGTTAAATCGTTAGTTCAGTGTTCTCGCGCGGATCGATCTTGAAACGGGACGCGCGTGGCAGCGTGTTCCCAACTATCCACCCTTTGAACAACATCCCTCGAAGCTTTTCGTTTCGTTGGCAAACGATCTCTCGCCGACGACGCTCGCGATCGATTTGCACGGTCGTCGAAAGGCTCGCGTCTCGTCGCGAGAGTTCGTCCCCGTCGCCGCTATCGCGTTAGAAAAATCGTAGAAAAAAAAAAGCGACCGCTGGAAAATACCACGACGATCGTCTCGCATCGCCGTGAAGTCTCGGAGCGAGGTCGACGCAAGATCAGCCGAGACTGAGGCTGCGACGAAAGAATCGTCTGGCTGCTTTCACGGGATCCCCATTTCTTTTTTTTTTTTTCCTCGATACGGCTGTACATGGTATTTTCTTGTTACAGGGTGATTTCTTTTTTTTTTTAAGACAATACAAGTCGTTGAAATGGTAACGCAAGTGTCAGGATATTGTTGACATTTACTGTGGATCATATTTCAGGAACGTGTTAAGAAACGCGAATATACGATTATAATTTTATAGTTGACATTGGATTGGATGATAAATTTCGATTACTCGCACTTGAATAACATTTCGGAATTTTAAATTGTTCGAAGCACAAAGTTTTATACATTTCTGAGATATTTGATGAAGAATACACGTGTCTTTACTTCTGTTTACGGTTTATGCTTTTCATTACTTTCAAATATTTTTCTAGTAACTTTCCAATAAATCACAGGTTGATAAAACAAGGATCAAAGACAAGAAATTAAAGATTACAATGAAACGTTGATCGTTCGAATTTTCATATTTAAACTATATCTTGAGCGATGTTTATATTTTGAGACATGTATCCTTGCCTCAAGTATTCCATTTTAGTGCCTCATCCAAGTGAACTGCCTTTCATTTACGTCATTGAAATGCTATCAAAAGAAAAAGAAATACTGCTGAAATTAAATATTATGAAACGTTTAAAAAAAAATAGTGAAAATACCTATAATTTAGTTACAGAATATAATGTTAGAAAGAAAAGAAGATATGTCCTAATACTTGTGGTCAACAGTATACGTCTGTTAGAAGCTAATATCGATCCTCTGGTATCCATAAACTTTAAATTACGGTACAAATGACTATGTATATATAATACATACAAAAGCAAAAACGAGAACGTATGACTGTTGCCATTATCTTCAAATTTCTTTTAATTAATAAAAAAAAAAATCACCCCGTTATACAGGATGAGCCAAAAGTTTCTTCCTACCTATCTTTCTTCAACAAAACATCAAAATAACTACAAAGAAACAACTAATTTTATTAATTTTAATATAAGAAACAACTAATTTTATTAAATTTGAAATTACAGATTTTTGGCCCACCTTTTGTAAGAAAGCACCAAAGTACTTGTTCCGTACCACGCGATATTTCATTATTTTACTCGAGGAGAACTCGTTGAACACGGGCCTTGGCCAAGTTGATGATCGTTCCGGATGGGTGTCGCAGAGATTCCTCTGCTGGATTATTGACAACGCGGCGCGCTTACACGGATAACACTCGTTAACTATTTACTCCTTACTTTATAAGTCCGACAGGTTAATCGTGTAATGGTTTATGATAAACGTGCATGGATAATTTGTCGACTCTTCGTTACAATGCTACACGTGAGAACGTTTTTCGGGGGAAGGCTTGGCTCCAGGCTCCTTCTTTGACTTTATTGAGCGGTTTCTTTTTTCACACGCGAGACGCGAGCTCGTTTCGTTTCTCACGCGTGCCTGACTTTCGCGCGTTGGCTTTATAAAATCGATGAGGAGGAAGAGATGAGATACTGGTCGTGGATATTTACAGGTGTGATGAAGACGATTTTCGAAAAAAAAAGAGAAAAAAAAATTTCACGTGAGTCTGGTGGATGGTCAGATTATGAAATTTCGTACGCGTTACGAAACACTCGATTACTTTGGAGAATTTGGAGTAATTGGAATTGACAGTGAAATTACCTCGTAGACAACAGTGATTTAAACTAACTTGAAACACGTATTCGCACGACTGCTCCTGAAAAACGAGAGAGTCAAGCTAATCAAGAGGAAGATCAGATCGATACACTGTCTAAATTACATTTCGATTAAGTCGAACGATCGGCTGGATTGCGTTGGATTAAGCGTGAGTTAGCCCTAGAATTACATCTAGATTAGACTCGGAGATAAATCGAGCCGGGTTTCGGCGCGCTCAACGTTATGATAGATCGATTTGGGTTGGATTGAAGGACTGAACTAAATTTCAGTTAAACCGTCTTACGCGAGTCAGTCCATTAAATTGAACGTTAAATTGAAAATGTATCGCTACGTCGATTCAGTGATTCGACACTTCGACTTTTATTAATACGTCGGTCGTAACACGTACGAAAATTTTTATTAAATTTAAATAATCTAAATCGCGACGACGGAGAAAGAATCGTTCGAAACATCGTCGCGAAATAGTATAATAGTCCGTACGATGATGATTTCTATAACTTTCAAAGAAAGGAGCCTGGCACGTGTGACATACGTGTCCCCGATTATTGTTGGCTCGATCGATGAATTATACTTTCTTTGTTACGCGAATCTTCGCGTAGACTCTGGTTCGTCCTCGTACATACGACTTGCTACTCTGTTTGCATATGATACACGTTTTGTTTCTCTTTTGCTTCTGATTCTCGTACTGAGAGAATTTGTTGAAACTGCTAACATTAACGAGAAACGCGTGTTGTTTGTCATGGGACGAAGTAGAGCGTTTAAAACAGCGTGTTTTATATATAAATATTTTATATATAAAAACGGATTTATTTATAAATAAACGGATAAACATCGTGCGTTAGAGAAGTATAGAAAACCATATTCTATGATAAATGAGAGAGAATATCGTGGCCAAGTTAAAAGAGAAATCCGCCGAATCTGGCTTTTAGTTAATCATTCGTTTCGAAGCCGAAGGAAACGTTGGTTCGTCTACAGAAAACTTTCTTCAAGGTTGAAGAAAAAAAAAAAAAAAAAAAAAAAGAAAACATTTAAAACTATCGATTCGAGTTTCGTACAAAATCGTCAAGACTTTTGCACGAGATTTTAAAATCTTATAGAACTGTATTTCTGTTAAAAGTATAAGTTAGTATGCTCGTGATACGATCGTGTAAGGAACAGTGAAAAAGGTCACGCGCTAAACTACCGAAGGCAAGAACAGCTGCCTCTGTTACGCTTAAACACCTCTCACCCCAAGATCCATACGACTCGAAAACTAATGCTACTAACGTACGTATAAAAAAGAGATTTGTACATATTTGAATACGTTGAATACAAAACTCGAATGAACAAGGATCGTACATCGAAACACAAGTTCAACCTGCCTTCGAAGAGCTCGCAGTGCAATACGTTCGTATAAATAATTAAATTAATCAAACAATGTACAAATACGCTTTCACTGAACGTAGTTTTTTAAAAACTACAAAATAGCTTTCTCTCTCTCTCTCTCCACGATTGGAGCGCGTGCTGCGGATACATTAAATAAAAATAAAACAAAAAAGAAAAACAAACGATTATTTATAATAATCGTGGCTCGCGTAATAGCCTAATGACTGCAAAGGCGTATATATATTTCTCTCAGTACGCGAAGCGACGAATTAGCGAGCGGAGAATTCAAACAGTTTGCATTTTATTTTCGCATTTCCTCCATTTGGATCGCGATCGCGTCCGACCACGATCGCTACGGTTTCCTTCTCGACAGAAAAAAAAAAAAAGAAAAAACGAACACTTGGTCCCTATATTTTTCTCGAAATCCCTTCGCCCTCAGTTCGTCCACTTATATCCCCGCGTTCCTTTCTCTCTATCTGCCAGTTCGTTTTGCGCAAAACGAACAAAAGGAAAAAGAAGAAATCGTTAATATTTTTTCTCTTTTTTTTGTTTATTCTTTTTTTGTTTTTTTTTTTTGTTTTGTTTTTTGGTTGGAATTCGATCCACCGCTGGATCGATCATATTCTCTTTAAACTTGTCCAGAAAGAGCGTGCGGATCGTTGTCGAGGAAAAATACGAAGTCACGTTCGAACGGTGACGTGCGTGTTCCAAATGTTTTCTCTTCTTTTCCCGGCGGTACATATTCCGTAGAAAAACAGGAATTTTTCTTTTTCTTTTTTTTTTCTCGCTTCTTGTAAAAGCACGAGGAAAATATACGCGACGTGACAAGCTACATTCCTCAGCTTCTACGTTCTGCCTGCTCGAGGAATTCGCATCACGGATCGAGAAATGTCTCACTCAGTGTCAGATGTTTCGATGTTTTAATCGATTTGCGACGAACGGCGAGCGAGAATTATTTCATCAAAATACGACGACACGTCTCACAAAGTAAAATACTACGCGATCAAGTTAAAAGTAGGTTACAAGTACCCCGATTTGTGTTACGATAATTTGTCACATTATTCCGCGAGGAGGAAGCAGTCGTGCAGAGAGTTTGACTAAATGCGAAAATTTCAACGAACGTGAATCAAACGGTCCACCGAGACCGAAAAAAGATTTATTCCTGTGCGGGTGTTTCTTTCTTTTTTTCTTTTTTTTCTTTTTTTTTTTTACTCGCGGCAAAAATTCGCGGGTGAACGTATTAAAAAAANCCCCCTCTCACTCTGTCTCTCATTCTTTCTTCGTCATTCTCGTTCGTTAAGTACGTGCACGACGACCGTCGTCTCCTACTACGTGTAACCTAGAACTTTAAAAACGACAACGTTCGAGCTTACTCTACAGGAACGAACCTATCCCCTTCCGTTTCTTTTTCTTTTTATCATTTCCCATTATCCTCTGTTCCACACCTAGGAGTTTTACGTTAGCGTATATCAAAAGGGCTATGTACAAAAAGGGGGTCGGCCGAAAGTGGACGAGACGATTCCTCGGGAACGAAGCGTCCACGAGCGTGGCGCAAGCTTTCACCGATTCGAGGAACGATTCTTCGTCTGGCCTCGGGCTTAGGAACTATACTTACTGCTACGCGATACTGTTCAGTGGATTTCGTGTTACTTTTTTTTTTCCTTTTTCTTTTTCTTTTCCTCTTTTTTCGCGTTGTTCGTGCTTCTTCGCAGATCGAGGGCTTCACCTCGAAGGCGTTAGCTTCGAAGTGTCGACGCCTCGGCCTGCAGACGCATCCGGATCGGTGCAATCGATCTCTCAGTTTCTTACGTTCTTCGAACTTCTTCGAAGAGACTCTCGCCGAGACGAAGTGCGGCGACGTCTCGTTTCTTCGAAGAGCTTCTCTCGTTGCTTCGTTTAACGTGACATAACGTAGCGAATGTGGTATGTCCACTTCTGAAAATTCGATTCGATTCGATTCGAAGAAGTCGTACAAATAATCGCGCAATATCGTTTTTTACGCGAAGAGTGTGACAGAGTGATTCGACAGACGGTTAGAAGGAATGAAGTTTGAGGAAACGAAATTGAAGACTGTTCGTGAAAAGGGTCGAGACGATTGCACCGATCGGTATTAATGTACCTAAACGATGTTTTTAAACGGCGCGAGATCACTACGACGAATCATTGTTCTTCTCTCTTTCTTTCTTTCTCTCTCTTGTTCGTCGATCGCCAGCAAATCGCTGCATTTTCTTCCTCCTCTTATGCGTCTCTTATCATCATCGTTCGCTGGTCTTTCGCTCACGATTTGGATGTTCTTTTCTCTCTCCCTCTCTTTCGCTACTTTCTTGCTGGATGTTACTTTCTTTAACTGATTTCGTACGAGAGATTCACGAATGATTAATTAGTTTGGAACGAAGTTTAGAAGAGTGCGTCTCTGTCTCAATATCGCTCCCATTCGATGCGTTGCATGGTTGCTCTTTTTCACTGGGCGTTCAGTTCGGACCTGTCGGAATTAGAAATCAGAGAAAGAGAACGTCATTCAATGCTACTGAGAACTGTGCATTAATTGATTCAATTGATCGCGCGAGCGTAGGTCGAATAAAATATCGAGCAAACAATCGGGAATGTACAACAGTTAGAAGTGGAATATTTGAAACATTTAAGAAACTGACAATGAATGAAATTTTAATTCGAGACTATACGATTGCACACTGTTATCAACTTGTACAGAAATAATTAGAAATACGATATTTAAATTTTTAAGAAACTGAACGAAAACTTTTATTTAAGGTGAATGTACGATCGCGTTGTCATTACATCAATTTTGACTCGTATGAAAATAGTTGGTGGAATGGTGGAGATTGTACGATCGCGTATATTGTTATTGCATAAATTTTAACTTGCTGATTTGAGGAACGTTCGTGGAAATTGCGACTCGAAGAAATTTCATTTCAATTTAAGTTCCATTTCTTAAAGTGGAAAGTCACAAATGCAAACGAGATCGTTCTCCTTTAAGTTTACGTTAATTGCTCGACGTTACATTAGGAGTTTAGAGTTTGAAAAATTTGATTGAACGTTAGGCAACATGAAAATTACTTACTTCAATGACTTGTAACGTTCTTTCTCTGGATTGTTGTCGGGTGGCTCGCACTCGAAGGACGCCAAAGCTAAAGCTACGTTACGAAAGGGAAAGAAATTGCAGTGATTAATATTAACGAGGCTTGAGAGACGAGTAAAAAATATTTTTAAACGTCCAAAGAACTAATGGAAGCTTCTTCTCATCAATTAAAACATAATCTGCGAACATAAAGGTCGCATTAATTTTCAAACGAAATAACGCGAAGCATCTAGGTAATTTCATCTCGCTGTAATTTCGCTATAATTTTGTTACAAGCTGATGATGGGATTTTACTTCGGGTCAGTTCTTCGGAGTGAAATCTCTATTTTTAAACGTCGTTCTATTAAACATCGTAGGTGGGCTATCCCGCTAATTAATTTAAAAGCAATCCAACGCCCTGCACTAATTACTTTTACTTTCCGCGTTATCGTTCCGATTCATTAATTCTCTTCTTATTCAGCAATCGAATAAAAACCGGTTGAAAAGTTTTACCGTTTTCAGTCAGCACCGGGCTCGCCTGAAGGAAAGCAATGACACGCGGATTCTTCTCGAACGGGCAGGCAACTTGTTTCCACGCGATGAATTCCGTCACCTGTTTCGCCAGCTGCCAAAACTTCTCGAAATTGATGTGCCCATTTGGTAATCTGAAACAGTCATTTTATGGTTCGATTAGCAAAACACGCAAATCAATGTCAAAAAACGCTCGAATTTGCGAATAAATTCTGGAACCAACTATCACTAAGGTATCAGAGGAATGAAAGTGCAAGAAACTGAATGAAATTTACGATACTATGTAGAACGTAATTTTTTATTCACATTCAAATCTCTAAACTCTCTTCATTCGCTGTAAATTTATCAAATTTTATTTTAATCAGTCTGATTCTAGTTTTAGTGTTAAAAATTTCTTAATGATCAGTTCCAGGAACACTCAGAATTTTCAGTGTCAATTTTTAATATTAATTTTCGACGTACTATCTTGTTTTTTTTTGTACACAGGCTGAACCATTTGATCGTCTCGAATATCTTCATTGTTTTCGAAATATTGTTAACAAAAATTGTTTAGTACATGCGTGATTTTCGTAAAATTCAATTTAATATATTTATTAAATTAGTAATATGGGGGTTGATACTTTTTTTTCATGAATATCGATCGATGGAACAAAAAAATATATCACTTCATCGGAAAAAATTGAAACTAACTTTATATCTTTCCACCTACAACTATGCTACCTATACTGCACAAATAACGTCGTATTTTCAAAAACGACGGAGATATCCAAGATGATTAAGTTACGTGATTCATCTTGTACATCGCGATGACAGAAAATTTTAGAGGGCTGTTGCAAAGAGGAGGCTTCAATCTTCAAACGCATTGTGGATTCAGTGACGAAAAAAATTTCTCAACGTTTTGAGAAACGCTTGAATTTATAGTATTTTTTTTCGACGAAGAACAGTATCTTCACTCTCCCGCTTACAGCTTGAATATGAAAATATTTTTCTAAAAAAAAAGTGAATCCAGAATTGTGAAAGTTGAGTGTCTTACGCTTTAAAATTAATCCCAGATTCGTTTCTCGTCGCGAAATAGCAACAGCCAATCATTCGTAAAATATTAGAAATTTAATGTTCAAACACAAGTTTGCGATTCCATGTATTCGTGAATGATGTTCCCGAGTGTTCTCGGCTACTTACGTACTGTCCACGTAATCATTAAAAGTTTCATCAATGCCAAAGCGTCTAACGAACATTTCGTTATCGATGGCTGGATATCGTGGATTAATAGGAACAACAGCGTCGCATCTTCCAATACGTACGTTAGCTTGTGTTTACGTAGTGTCGGCCATTCGGAGCCAAATAACGACTGCCTGTTATTTTGTTAAATTAATTTCGGATAATCCTGATTGCATTAGCTCGCGCGAGAGTTAAGTTAATGGTCACGTGAATTTCAGGCTTAGAAACAGGCATCGATCAGTCTTCAGTTTGATGCACGCTTTGATTAATTTTAACTTGATCAATTTCGATTTGTACCTCCCCATGGATTTTAACGTTAATAGATTTACATTGAAGCGAAGGGGAGACGTTCAACCTGCTTAAAGTGGAAAGTAGTTGAAACAGAATATAAAAGAAAATTCCCCTTTTAATGCGAAATATTTTATATTATAAATGTAAAGTGAGATTTTTACCGAATCGTTACAGAAGATATAGAATCTAAATAGAAAATTACAAATAATTTTCGGAATTAACTTCTTTATTGTTGTAATTAAATATTAATTCAACACACTTTCATTCTTGAATGTATTTTAATTTTTTTTTATCTACCAAAGTTATTCTTTTCGATTTTATGGAACACATTTTCAAGTATTCAATTCGTTTAAGTAAACGGAGAAAAGTCTTGTCTTGGAATAATAGAACATTTTAGTGAAGTACATGACTTTAGTACGCTTGTCTAAAGCCAGTTTCAATCATTTACCTAGCATACCTGAGAGAATTCGTCCCGTGTATGTATTCTTATTGTAAGAAGTTAATATCGAGACTGAATATTTTATCTGGTAAAAGGAAAGTTTATGAAGAGGGGCTTTTGATGCTTCTTCATTTTGTAATTTCAAGAAGTAGGTTCAAAGTGGTCAGCTCGCGAGAAAGTCTCAAAAAGTTCCCGAGTAGTCCCTTCAAGTTTTATGTACTCTTCGAAAGCAATGTGATTTTATGTGCAAACAATTTTAAAACTTGTTAAGATCTTTCTTACGGCAAAGAGGAAGCGAAAAAAGAGAGAGAGAGACTGAGAGAGAGAGAGAAGATCATACTCGACATAAATCATAATGAAAAATAACTAATTATAAAAAATTTTTATAAATTACAATAATAAAGTTATAATAATTTTTATTTAAAAAAAGTTACTTTAATACATTAATATAGATCAAATTGTTATGAATAAAAAATAAAATGTATCGTAATTATTTCCAAGTTAATTACTGACGATGCTTCTCAGAAGAGTCAAATAAATTAAAATTTGGACAAGTAGAAAATATGAGATATTTAATATGTAGAAACAATTCTTACAATTTCTCGAAGCAGTCGTTAGTCAAATACGGATGTAAATATCAATCAAACTTTCTACTTTTCGAATAAAACTTCAAAGTCGAACATCCTGTCGCTTTCCACGCTATAATAATTCACATCTCCAAACTTTCCAACAGCGTGAAATGAGTAATACCTTTCGTTCACAGAGATTTCACAGGGAAGCAGTACCAAACGGGAAATCTCATTCCTCCGCGAATCATATCCAATATATATAGATCTTCGAATACAGGTAATCTCCTAGCTATTCCTCAAACCAAATCACCAATTCCAAAAGGACTTTCAAGAACTCATCAACCGTCTACCAACTCTCGGATTCGATCGGAAAAGAAGGAATAATTTGTTCAGCCTCGGGGATTTCCACCGTGTAACGATTTCCAAGGATCTGCGTGTGTGTTGCAGTGATTACATTACAGTTACATTCGAAATATATATATATATATTACGACAACTGTTAAATACGAATGACTGTTATACCTTTTTTCAATTCGTCCTGTATATATTTCGCTACTATGAATAACTGACTATTTAGCTGAAGGAAATAAAACATAAAATGCCCATCAGGAACGTTAAAGTAAAGAAACTGGAAAGTCTCTACAATAAGACGTGACAAATTAAATTATGATTAATTAAGGATGAAATAAACTTTTATTTATTTGTATATATATTCCGAAGGGTCATTTAAATCTCTACAAACACATGTTTCGTATCTACAAGATTTCCAACTACAAAATTACAAATTGGCCATTTTGATCAATTCTGATAGTTCTGATAGTGTCAAGTCTAAACTTTTCTAGTCTATAGGCGTCAAAAAGAAGTGTTCAACTTTCAACCGGCAGGCTCGTTACAGCGTTAACGAAATTTCCAAATGTTCTCTGCAACACTGCCAAAAGTCGTCGAATACTTTTGTGAGTCTCTGTGGACTACGCATGTGCGTACGCGCGCGCGAACGCTCGAATGAAACTACGAGTCGAACTGGGGGGGGGGGGGGGGGGGGAAGGCAATTTATCGTGCGAAGTCGGAAGCGTGCGAATTCGCGTGGCAGCGACGCCTGCTTCCGGCTGCGCGACGTTCACATAACGGACATTTACATATACGCTTGCCCCGATCGGTCAATATCCATCCTAGAGAAACCTGTCTTTCCATCGTCGTCTAGCTTCCTTTCTTCTGCCTCCGCCAATCCCGCGATCGAAATTCTATTAGAGATTCGGTCCACGGACCGACAAGGGAGGATAATTGCCAGGAAGAAGGGCTCTTTTCCCTTATTAGAACCCCATCCAAACCCACCCGCGCCACTTTCTAAGGAAATTGATACCCTGACGCGGATTCCCTCTCACGGAACGATTCGTTTCGTATTAAGGATGAACGCGTGATGGGACTCGGGAGAATCCTTAACGAAGAGAACGAGACTTTTTGCAGACGGATTTTCACGCCGCTGTCAAGTTAGAATAATTTGTAACCTCGGCGAAATGTCGGTTCCAATAATTTACACAGCTCGACGTAAAACTGCCATTGACATTCGTAAGGAAATTTTGGTTTTATATAAAAATGCGAATCAATCGTCTATACAGGGTGTTTCGTAACTTGTGGGACCCACTTCGGGAGCTAATTGTACGCCTAAAAATAATGAAGAAAAGTCAGATAAATATATGTCCTGTCTGTCTTTGTTTATGAGATATAATGAATTTTCTGAATAATGAATGAATATAATGAATTTAATTACTTTTACAAAAGATGCTCGAAATGACCACCTTGCATTTGAAGACTGCACGTGTCTTGTCATTCATCTGGTTACTCTCTCTATCATTCCTGGTGTTTCTCGAATTTGCCGGAAGTCTTGCTCTGTTCTATTTCGTAGTATTTGAGCATTTTCAATCGATGTTACGTGTACAATAGATTTTAAATGTCCCCATAAATGAAAATGGATTCAAATCCGGAGAACGAGCAGGACCTCCACGATCAATCCATTTATTTGCAAAGTGTTGATTTAAAAATTGTCTAGCCACTCGGCTAAAATGCGGCGGAGCTCCATCATACATAAACCGCATACGAATAATCTAATATCGACTGGAACTTCCTCTAATATTTCGTGTAAACGCGTGCTCAAAAAATCAACGTACTTTGTGCCTGTTAGTTTCCCATCAAGAAAAAAAGATCCAATTAAAAATTTATCAATTATTCCATTATGCCCATACGTTTAAACTAAACTGGTGTTGATGTCTTGAATGCACAATAACGTGTGGGTTTTCTTCATCCCAATTATGATTATTATGAAAATTGAATATGCCATCCCTGGTAAAACTAGCGTACTAGAGCTTGCTCTGTTTATAAAATTCATTATATTTCATGAACGAAGACAGATAGGACATATATTTATATGACTTTTTTTTCATTACTTTTAGGCGAACAATCAGCTCCTGAAATGGGTCCCACAAGTTACGAAACACCCTGTACATCGAGGAGAAGCTAACACAGTCTCATACGTGTGGCCGTAACGATATATCCTATTATTTGCTTCAGCCAATACCGAATTATAGTTCTCGATCGAGTGTATTACGTGATCTAAAGCGCGTGATACGTAGACATTTGTTTGTAGACGGTGTGCGTCTTGAAGCGATTCGTACTGGCAGTGTGTCCCCACTGATGTGACGACCTGCTTGATCAATTTAGTGAAACGTTCTCGCATTGGTCAGACATTATCTGTCTACACGAATTCGCGAACCGTTTTCCATCGTACGTCTCCTACTTTGGGGATAAAGTCGTCATGAACTTAATGCACATGTAACGTGTACTGTCGAAAATCACGGATCATCTGCTGTAACTCTTTCATTTAAGTATTAGGCTCGTGAGATGGAGCATGAGATTTGCTGATATTTCATTTGAAATATTTCTCACTGGCTTTGTAATTATTTTGTAACTTGCGAAATTTATTACAAGTTATTTTACCATGGAATTTTTTATGCTATGAAATTATTGGAAAACCATGGTTAATGAAAAATGTAGTAAACTTTTGGAGAGATTGAGAAAATTATGTATTATTAAAGAACTTACGTAGGATTTACTTTTTGTTCAAAAATGAGGAGATTTTGCAATTGTTTTATAAGCTATAAAATTCGTTACAAGTTATTTCATTACAAATTCTTTTTGTACTATAAAATTATTGGAGAATTATTGTTAATGAACTTTTCGAGAGATTGAGAAAATTACGTAGAGTGACCATTGAAAAATGTATGATATATTTTTATTAAAAAATCAGGAAGCATCTTGATGCGTTTCTCTATAGTATGTATTAAAAAAATACGTACATATGCATTTCACATTTTTCTGTAATTTTACTATTCTGTTCTCTCTAATAAGATTCCACATAAATATGAAAAAAAAATTCTACGTATACTTGATAAAGACACATACTAGTTAAACGTGTACAAGAGAAAAACCAGTATGATCGTAAATTCTCTGCAATTGCGTATCCGAGAAGATTATGGCAAATATCGCGTCAAGTGGAGTAGAGCACTTTCGTGTGGAATAGAAATTATTTTTCTAATGAAACTTCTTGCGGCCACGCACAGTGGCGTTCTCCGCGAAACGGTTTCATTTTACAACGCGATCGCATGCGTAATGAGTTTTTCGAACGAAAAAAAGCGTTCTACCTCAGATGCCCTCGTTATTGTGATGATTAGTCAGAGCTGACCTATAAAATGTTCGCCGAGAACCGAGATTATTAGAATTTTTACCTTGCGTGGAAAATGAGCAAAGAGAGAAAGAAATATCAATTTTTGGACATTGTGTTTGTTCGTTCTTTCGTAGTACGGTGTTCCATGCTTCGAAATTACTCCCGTATCCCCTGAACCAGTGCAAAGTTCAGAAATTTATGAAATGAAGAAACAAAATGAAATTATTGATGAAACAAAAAAAAAAAAAAAAAAAAATAAAGAGGAAGGAGCTAGAAGAAATTGCAAATTGCGTAACTACCGGAGTGGTATTATACAGTGATTGGTCAGACATCGTAAGCATTCTCTTTGAATCTATTTACAACTGATGTATCAACGTCTCTAAATGAAAATTAGAGCTAGCAATCTAATATTCTTGCCAACATAAATAAATAACAGTTGTGTGAAAAACAAGGGAGGACGATAAATCTTTCAAAAGGACCTTAAACCTCGAACCAAATTCGTCTGAAAAAACGTGGAGGATTATCTTAACAGAAACCATTGTACGCAGACAATTGCGCACGCCTTACAAGCAAAGCATTTTTATAGGATCATAATAGAAAGTCAGACGCTCGGAGGGAACGAAAGGGTTTCGACCCTTTTTCCGGTAACTTTCTCCCACTCCTTTCCTCCTCTCTTCCTGTTTTCTTTTCAGCAACTTTCAGTCGAGCTACGAGGAAACAACTTTTGCTATTACAAGTTTAATAAGTTTACACGTACAGTTGGGCGGCGAGGGACGACGCGGGGTTTCTCGCGCTTTTCATGGAAGGCGAAGGAAATGGCACGGCACATTCGTCCTCGTGATAAATACGAGCGGCAAACAGAAAAAAAAAAGGGTCGGGGCATTTGAGCGGCGCTGAGGAAACGAGCTTTCTGTCAACGTATCGCCTCCGCAGGAACAAAATTATCGAGAGTATTTTACCAGAACTCGGGCAAAAAAGAACTTCGGTATTGGCATTGGCCGATGGGAAATCGGCGATCGCGTTTCAACCGTTCGGCTCACGTTCCGCCACTCAACTTAAATTACTTTATAAATATTCCATCTGTTGCGAGATCTTCGAGAGATCGTCCTTCGATTCTTCGCGAGAACGAAATTGTAAAATCGTCGTTGGCCAGAGCGAATAACACACGACAACTGCAATTTGGGAACAGAAATGGAATTTTGAACGGGAATTACCGTTCTTTATTGCTCCCCTGTGTTTTCCATCGAAAGAAATGTTACGATGATTTTCACGAAGAAGTCTATGAGATTGTTGGGTTGCCGTATAAGTAAAAATAAGCGAGAGATGTACGTGGATTTCAAGGAAATGCTTAGACTATGTCTGACTACATACAGTCTCGTACTACTTGGACATTCTTTTCAACGTGAATTTTATAAAATTCTATAAAATTCCATAAAATTTCATTGTATCAAAATTGATTCGTAGATGTGTAGGTTTTCACGGAAAAGTGTCATATTTAAAAAAAAGTTTAAATGCCTGTAAAAATTGGCGAGTATCGCACTTCACAGTAATAAAACATCGATTAATAAAATTATTCGACAAGATTTCCTGTTCTTTCACGAGCGTCGAAAGAAACAGCAAATAGCGAAGAACCAAAAAAAAAAAAAGAAAAAAGAAATTGGTCAATTCTGCTTCGAGATAAATCGTAATTATTCAAGGCTCGAAAACCAGATTAATGGAAATTAAAATTTTCATCAGGCCAGAAACTTTCTCGTATGTCTTTAAATGATTAACACAAAAGAGAGAGGGAGAGAAAGAGAGAGAGAGAGAGAGAGCAGGAGGTTTTTACTCACTTGTTGCTGCATCCCTCGTTCAGGAAGTAGAGATCCTTGACCAGCAAACTGAAGAAGGGCACAACGATCCTCTGTCGTTCGTCCGTAGCGCCGGCGCTACGCCACATCGCCGCTTTCAGTGTGCTGCGGTAGCTGCTGAAATTGCTGCTCGGATCCATTTGGTGCTCAAGAATCGAGAATTTCGCCAGCTGCACCTTTGACCACTGTAACAGAAAATAATTTCGCGTGGCCGTTAGCGAGGAACGTTTGCTTGTTAAGTCATTTAGCAAAGTTCAGCCGAACGAGAGAGAGAGAGAGAGAGAGTTTCCGAGAGCGCGACGAGATCGATTTCCCCGGTCACGTATATATCTTGTGTAACTTGCTTCTTGTTCATCGTTTGCGACTCGAATCCCGTCCAACGTTTCGCAGGGATTTAATTAAAATATCGCGTTACACGTAGACGCGTTCTCTGAATTGATCACGGCTTCATTTATTACTTTTCAGTCGTTCGAGGGATGCTAGGTTTTTGTTTAATTTCTCGACATTATCCTTCCTGCGAATTTTTCGCAAAAGTAAATCAAATATATTGACGGCGAAAGATTTCATTTGCCTGATATTCCATTTATATTTCTCAGACACGCATAAAAATCCACGGTCGACGAATGTTCTGAAATTTCCTTCTCTCTAATTAAGTAAACACAATGAACCACGCGTGTCTCTTCAAATTTATACGAATTCTTCGAACCTTCGTATTCCGCAAGAAATGCGTAAGCATTCATGATCGACGAATATTCTGAAACTACCCCCCTCTTCCCTAAATAAATATAACGAACCTAGATATACCGGAATCGGAAAATATATCGACGATCGTCCATCGATCCACCATACCGACTGTTTGTTCGATCTTCGCGTTTATTCTTCGATTTTATTTTTACACGTACGTACGTATAACGATATCACGCGCGCGCGCAAAGAGAAAAAGAGGCCAGAGAACGTGTTCACGACAGACAATAAGTGCATCTGACTCGGCCGTCTGGATACAATGCAATCGAACTGATCCTATTGCCTTTAACCCGATACCCTTTTCTCATTCCGATATATATCGAATTCTATCCACCGGTTTGCACGGTCAAATAGTTACCTTCGCTCTCTGACCTCCCCGCTCCTCGCCCTTTGTTCTTTCCCTTACCCTTTTGATTTCTCCCCGCGCTTCTCGCCCCCTCCCCCTACTCTCTTCCTTCTTTTCATCTCTGCATGCGTTTGACCCACTCCCTTCTTTCCTTTCACCAACCTTTTCTCCCTCCTTTGTATCTTTCTCCTCTAATTTTCTGATATCTCCCCCCTTTCCCAAGCTTCCTTCAATTTGTTCGCCTTTGAATCTTCGTCTTTAACCTCTGTCGGTTTTACCTGTTCCTTAGGTTTCAATCTCACTTCTTTTTACGATCGCGATGCGAGTGTGCTCTCCCTCCTCCCTTTGTCCTTCGTCTCCTTTTTCACGGTTTTCTTTTCTTCTCGCTTTGTACGCGTGCGCGCGCGCGTGTGTAAGAAAGTCGCGAACGCGTTACTCGAATTTGTCAAACTTGAATTTGCGGCGATCAGGCTGAAAGTATTTTCGAGATTTTTCTAACTGTAACTCGTGTTGTGAACATTTCCAGTGCGTACCGCGGAGTTATCCTTGATCGTTGTTATAATTATATTTCAATAATTATATAATTATATTATATAATTCAATAATTATATAATTATATTTGTTGTCGTTGTTATAATTATATTTCAATTCGATTAAACACACGCTCGGGTGAAATATTCTTGAGAAACAAGCGTACAGTCTTTAAATTTCAAATAAAAGGTCCTTTTTCCCCAAAAAGGAACGGACAATGTGAAATTTCGAGGATATTAGAGTTGAACGCCGGACAAATTGCAGGTTAATCGAAAAAACGAAAATGAATTCCAATGTGTACAATACGAGGATGGACACGCAAGCGCAAAAACGATCAATTGGATTTCCATTTAAAACGAACGAATTAAACCGCAGTATTACTATCGAGCACAACGAATAAACCAAGATAATTAATTTTACGCCCCGTTGTATAAACTTTCGAAAACACGGAGTGCCGCGCGAAATTCCGCGTCGTTCCGAAATTAAAAAGGAAAATCCGTGTCCGGTATTCATTTTTCTAAATTAATACTATACTGCAATCTATTCAATTTCGATGGAACGCGAACGCGCTCACTGTGTGTTTATTATCAGCCAATAGAAATAATAAATGCCTTCCAATTTAAATCTGCAAACGACAATTTCTCGTTGAACTTCAATTTGTTAAAATTCTAACGATTAATTAACTCAGTTAACTTACGCGAAGTTTCGAAAAAGTAATTCGTTCCACGTTGATTGAATTCCCATTCTTTCTAGGGAAATATCAAATGCGAAAATTGGAGAATATCATTTAAATTAGATTGAAATTCAGAAAATTAAATTGTGACATTGGTGCAAGAATTTCCCTCTGATATTTTCGCCAAAAATACAATCTTTCTTTCGAGTACATAAAAATCGATAAAAATAATATTTCAATTACAACGTGTACTACATAATTAATTTCATTCCCGTATAATTAAGCAGGGACAATTAATCAAAATAAATACTTTAGTAAATTATCACAGGCTATAATTCTTTGCGAGTTTCAAAACCGATTCAAATCGAAATTCAAATAAATCAACGTTTCCAAGTATTCGCAGTTACTAACGCCTTTGTGAAAAACACAAAGTATCACACAGAGTGCGCTAATCAGATTGTCTAAAATCGCCGGCAACTTAATTGACGTTGGCTCGCGCGTTAAAACCGGGACTCACCGCGAAACGCACGGCGAACATTCCCGACATTGGCTCGAATTAATTTACCGGAAACTATTTCACCGGTCGTCGTCGTTGCGCGCCCCGGCTACACGTTAATTCGCATTAATTAAACTGAATTTTCGTTTAGCCCTGGACTTTTTGGACCAGCCAATTAAACGGTCGTCGATTTCGCGTAAATCGAACAGGATCGTCATCGTGTCGTGTCGTGTCACGTCACGTTGACACGACAGACCCCTTTCCCCCCCCCCCCCCCCCCCGTATTTTCTCTTCTTGTTCTTTTTCTATCGTGAAATTGACGCACTCGGATAAATCGAAAAGCATTAAATATTGAAAATTGGCTTATCAGTCAAATTTACGAAGCTTGGAATAAACGATGATTTCTATGATGGAGGAGAAGAGGCCTCATGGTACTCGAGACACAAATTTATGGGACGCCTTGTTTGGAGTTTTTCTAAGTGGTTTGTCACGTTGTGGAGCACATCCATGTCACAACTGGACACTCTTGGTCTTAACATTCAATTTTATCCAATTATTTATTAATTTCCTTTTTCAATTAATCTATTTTACTGAATTTTATTTTACTGAGATAAATCAACACTCTTAAAAAAAAAAAAAAAAAAAAAGAAAAGAGGAGGAGACAAAGAAAACGTCATTGCTTTCAGTGTCTTCAAACGTTTTCGTTTTTTAATACGAAAAAGAACCAAAGTCCAAATAATCCTCGAAGAATTAACTGCCTGTGGAAGGAAGTTGCGCGGGAGCAATCTCTAGCTTGTTTCCCTTCGGTTATCTCCGAGAATTATTAACCGGAAGGAACGATGCATTATCGAATGTTGCCCGAGACGACGGGGGGGAGAGGGAAAGGATTCCACAGGCTCTGGCCGGAAATACGTTGGATGTCGGCGCATTCGGAGGTGGAACTCCATCTTCCACTGGAGTAGGTGGGACCTTAAATTCTTCAAGGATGCGGCGAAGCGACCGTTGCATCTCTCGAGAACGAGAAAGGGTTTCCCTGCTCGCCGCGGGAGCCATTTTTCTTCGCCCGCGACTCGATTCGATTTCTCCGGGAAATGCTCTCGCCGCTCGGGGGAAAAAACACCGAGAATCGGGAGACTCCTGGCGGATCCGGTAAATTGAAACTGGATGGGAAACGGGGGGGATGGGCGGTCGAGAGAGTGAGCGAGACGCTGCGGAATCTACTTTTCAGCCGGCGGGATCCCGCGAGACATCGGCCAAAGAAACGAGAAACTCTCTTTCTCTCTCTCTCTCTCTCTCTCTCTTTCGCTCGAAAATCGCGAATTCTAATTAGAGTGCACGATTGGCGCTATCGTCCCCGAATTTTGAGACGTTTTTCCACGCCGCACCGCGCGAAATAATGGAACTCTTCGTGGCCGAAAGATGGAGATAGAAGTGGAATCTCGCTTCCCCTCTCCCGTGGGGTTTAATTTCGCTTGATTGCGAGTTTATTTCCATGGCTGAAGGGATTTCGTAATTTAGCGGAGGCGAAAGTGGTGCAAAAATGAGACCGTGAGACACAGCGCGGTGATATAAAAGGTTTTCAGCCTCATAAATTGAACACCTTAAGCTCCGACGATAACGATCATGAGAACTTTTGTCTCTGTTTCTTTGTGGCTGTTTTATATAATGTAATTTAATAAGATGACAATTATTCGATCTGAACTGTTTCATGTACAGCTATATGATAAATATAAAGAGATTCGTATCAGGATAATGTTAATTTTATCCGATGAATTTTGTTATGCCGTAATTTAAAAACATGATAATTGTTCAATCTGAACTGTTTTATTTACTACTTTACGTACTGCTTACCATTTCCATGCGAATGAATTTTGTTATACTGTAACTTGTGCGCTGTAATTTAACAAAATGATAATTATTCGATCTGAGCTATTTCATTTACTACTTTATGCATTTCTATATAAATATAAAGACGTTCGTATCAGAATATTGTTACAATTTCACGCGACGAATTTCGTTTCTCACTTGGACACAAGAGACACTCCGCTAGAAAAATGCGATCCGTTAATTATAAATCGTGTCGTTCATCATTTTATTTATACACTTGACCGATGTGAAAGGCTATTAGGTATATTATTATCACGTTTCTATTTTGTTATAGCTTTATGAATGGATCGCGTGTTGCTTTATGAAGAATAACGCGTGAAATGACGAAGCTTAATAAACGGCTTAAGAATTGCCGTCAAGAATCGCCGGCTTCGCAATACAGTCAAATGATTAACGAGATTGAAATGAGTGACATTAAAAGTTTCAACTCGTAACTCTCTTTCAAATCGAAACTAATTCCCTTCCTTTCTTGTCAGCTGACCATACAACGCCCGTAACGCAAACAAAT